GCGTTTTATATGCATTGCAAATTAATGAATTTTTTTGAACAGTGCGCCATATACATTGCGACATATGAAACAGGCACCCGCGGATCGCAGTCAGTGGAACCGACTGTTTAAAAGCAGATAAGGTTGCTAATTTAAAGTCGATCATGATGAATTTAGGATTTAAAATTTTTTATTTGATTGAAAATATTAAGGTAATCTTGTTGGCGACGTGATGTCATCAGGACATAAATAGCTGGGATAATGGTTTTATGTTACATCCCGTGGATGGTGTATATTTGTTGGAAGAGAGGAGGGCATGTCTTGAATGTGCCATCTGCATACCATTTATCACATGTTGATAAAAAATTTAAATTTTTTATGGTTGAAAATATGAGGCATCGGTGATCATGATGACCACTATCATATAACAAGTTCATCATCATTGGATAATTGATATTCAATAGGTATGACCAAGTCAATCAGGCTTAAGGGAATGGCAGGCGCTCTTCCTACTTGGCGTCTTTTTCTTTGAATTGTCTTTTAATTAAGGAACAACTAGGCATTTTCCCAATGGCGTCTATAGATATATTGCTAGATATATCGGCCATTATATTATTGGGCAGAGATTGGGTACTAGAAGCCTCTTGTTTGATTTTATTCATCTCTTTTCTTGCTTCAATATCAGCAATGTCTGGTACATGATTATGTTTTTTATTGTGGAATATAGGTATTCCGTTCTTAGTTCGGGCGCGCCCACTGCATTCATCCACATGGAATTGAATACATCTCCAATAGGTTGTTTGATTTGATGTTTTTTCCTTTTGAAAGAGGTAAAAATCAAGAAGTAGTAACTGATTGTTTCGACTACTTAAAATAAATTCAGCCATAATTTTAAAAAAAAAGTGAAAAAATTTACAGAAAAAGACAATTATATAGAAAAAAATTTATAGAAAAAACAATGATAGAGAGCCGTTTATATAAAATAACATAGATTGTTTTCAATTGATAACCAAACAATTATGCCATAAAAATATTTTGATATAGCACATTGATTGTACGATTAAGGTGACAAATATATTTTAACTAAAGAAAGAATTATCCGTGTTTCACAACTATAATTTAAAATTTTTAGGAAAAATAATATTATAAGAAGAATTAAAATAACATAAGTGTTGTTAAATTAAGTAGATTTGATAAAAGATAACTATAACTAGTTACATTTACAAAAATCCTAACTGTAGCTGACTACATTTTATACAAAGTAACTGTCCAAAGTAACTAGTTACTCTTTATAAATATATTTAAATAATAAATTTATATTTTTTTACATTATAATATTATACAGAGCTGATTGCCCTGAATTTACTATCCACTTGATACTAATATAATTGTAACCTTCTAAAATTTTATTTAAACACGATATAAGATTATAAAAAAACTTTCTAAAATTCGAAAATAGTGTTTTTATAATTTTATATTTTAACTCTTATTATTTTGCCGATTGTAATAATTTTCTTACAATAAAAACTGCCCAATAATTCGCTTATATAAGGTAATTTTAATATTTAATAATATTTCATATAATTTTTTTCCCCCTTTGACTATGCAGAGCACATAAATTTACAAAAAAATTTATAACATTTTTTATAAATTAATCATATTCTTTAAATAATTTTTTTTTATAAAATAATCATATTCTTTAAATAAAATTTTTTATAAAATAATTCTCTATAAAATACATTCTCTATAAAATCATTCTCTGTAAAATCATTCTCTATAAAAACATTCTCTGTAAAATCATTCTCTATAAAATCATTCTCTGTAAACGACATTCTCTATAATTGTTTTATCTATAAAATAATTCTCTATAAACGACTTTCTCTATAATTGTTTTCTCTATAAGTGCATTCTCTATTATTGTTTTCTCTATAAAGGTTTCTCTGTAAAATACATTCTCTGTAATGGTTTCTTTGTAATGACGTGGAACCTTTTTAAACATATTAGATTTTTTGACGTTAATGGGCAAAAATGTATTTTTAACATGTTAAATTGGAATTAGGATAAAAGCGACAATAGTCATAATAGTTATTTTTAAAGTTTTTTATATTTTTTTGACGTAAATGCGCTAAAATAAGTATTGTTAACATGTTTAAATAAAACTTCAGTGAAGATGTAGCCTAGTTAAGTAACACTTGTCATAATCCTTATTTTTAAAGTTTTTTAAATTTTTTTGATGCAAGGTAAAAATATGGGCCAAAATAAATATTGATAACATGTTTAAATAAAACTTCTTGAAGATATATCCTAGATAAGTGACACTTGTCATAATCCTATTTTTAAAGTTTTTTGACGCAAGATAAAAATATAGATTGTAAACATGTTAAATTACAATTTCATGAAGATGTATCAAATAAAAGTGACAATTGTCATAATCGTTATATTAAAGTTATTTGAAATTTTTTGACGCAAATGGGCAAAAATATAAATTGCTTACATGTTAAAATGAAATTTCAAGAAGATGTACCATAGATAAGTGATAATTGTCATAATCATTGTTTATAAAGTTTTTTGAACTTTTTTGTTGCAAATGTTAAAATATAGATTGTAATCATGTTAAATTAAAATTTCATGAAGATGCACCATGGAAAAGTGATAATTATATAATCGTTATTTTTAAAGTTTTTTGAATTTTTTTGACGCAAATGGGTTAAAATATAGATTGTAATCCATTTTTACCATATGTTTACAAAATTCAAAATCTTAACATTAAATTAATAGGATGTTGATTGTATCATATTACTAAATAATATTCATATGGTTTTTAAGTTCTTTTCATAAAAATCCTACCCTGAATTCAGACTCAGCACTACTTTGCCACGAATATACAAAAATATTTGCTAACTGTGAATGCAGGGTATTCAAGTTTGTTAATTAAAGTAATAAGATTGTGAATCCAAATCTTAAAAGTTTAAAATTAATATGAGTTACAACTATCTTTAATAATTTTGCATATTTTTATCAAATTTTAAACAGGATAAAAGGGACAACGATTATGAGCTTGAAAATTTCCATTTGTTTTTTTTGTTTCGACAAATGTTACTAACACATTTCTCAAAAAAATATAAGAAGCTAAAGATCTGAGATTGTTATAATTAACATGGCACTTTTCTGAATTATTTCAATAAAATAAGAAAATATCTTTTTTTGAATGATTTCTCAAAAAAAATATTGAAAAACTTTAAAGATAAGGAATATGACAATTGTCACTTTTCTATGGTACATATTCATAAAATTTTTTAACATGTTTACAAGCTATAATTTTACCCATTTGAATCAAAAAACTTTAGAAACAACGATTATGACAATTGTCACTTTTTTATTGTTTATCTTCATGGAAATTTAATTTTCATGTTTACAATCTATATTTTTACCCATTTACATCAAAAAATTTCAAAAAACTTTACAAACAACAATTATGACAATTTTTTCTATGGTATAACATCTTCACTGAAATTTTATTTTAACATGTTAGCAATTCATATTTTTGCTCATTTACGTCAAAAAAAGTTTAAAAATAATGATTATGACAATCGTCAAAATTTTTATTTAACATGCCACTAGCAATATATATTTTAACTCATTTTCGTCAAAAAAATTCAAAATCTTTAAAATTAACGATTATGACAATTGTCACTTTTCTATTGTTTATCTTCATGGAATTTCAATTCCCATGTTTACAATATATATTTTTACCCATTTACATCAAAAAATTTCAAAACTCTTTAAAAACAACAATTGTCAAATTTATTTTAACCCATTTTTGTCAAAAAAATTCAAAATCTCTAAAATTAACGATTATGACAATTGTCACTTTTCTATGGTACATCTTCATGAAATTTTAATTTAACATGTTTACAATCTAAAATTTTTAACATTTGCGTCAAAAAATTTAAAAAACTTTAAAAATAAGGATTATGACAATTGTCACTTATCTAGGGCATCTCCATTGAAGTTTTATTTTTACATGTTAACAATACTTATTTTAGCCTATTTATGTCAAAAAAGCTTAAAAAATAACGATATGATAATTGAAATTTTAATTTAATATATTAAAAATACATATTTTAGCGTCAAAAAATCTAATATGTTTAAAAATACCGATTATGATAATTGTCATTTCTCCAAGGAACATCTTCAATAAAGAATATGACAATTGTCACATTAAATTATTTTCCTTAAAACGATCATATAAAATAACATAAATATTTTTAAAAAAAATTATTTAGAAAACCTACCTCTCTTAATATACTTAAAAAATAGATAATTTTACAAAAATGATATAAAAAAAACTATAAAAGATTTCACCTAAAAGATTGTTTATTTATAATAAAATTCAACAAAAGAATTCCTCAAAAGAGATTTATTTACAATTGAAGATTTAAAATTTTTTATCAAATCAAAATATGTTCAAAAATCTTTTTTATTTTCAAAAAATATTTTTTGCTTAATATTTTGGGCTTGAAAATCACTAATTAATTGTAACAAAATAATATTACAATAGTAGCATATCATTTTTTTTTATTAAAAAAACATCAACGAAAAGAAATTCATTTTCATAATAATCATATAAAATATTAATTCATATCAGATGTTTATTTGTTGATAAATAAAATATTGACATTAAATATAAATAAATAATAATTAATACTAGGCCGCGATATATTTCGCTAAAAAGCTTTCGCTATATTGTCTTCGCGATTTAAGTTTCACGATAATGACTTCTCTATAAAATTTTTGCTATTATTGATTCGCGTTAAAAATTTCTCTCTAATGTATTAACTTTAAAGTTTTCGCTATAAAAAAATCGCGATATTGTCTTCGCGGAAAAGTTCGCTAATGTGGATTCGCGATAAAAGTTTCGTTATAAAATTCATTCGCGACGACATTCGCGTTTCGCGATATAAGTTTCGCTGAATTCACATGGAATACAGTTATTAAAATGTATAATATTCGATATTCAGGCACGTATCATTTATTCGTAGAATCTTCGACCACAGAAAATGGGAAAAATCTCGAGTCCCCCATGGTAAAAGTAATTAGGTTGGATGTTTTGGGAATATCTGATATATCCATTCATACATCAGAAGAAATTTCTCGAAATTCGATCGTGATGGAATTACGTCCTATTAATGTTATCAATTTTTACCTGTTAAACATGTGGGAGACATTTATCGATAAAATGGCCTATATATTTGACACGGAGAAAAAGGTATTGGAACGTAATTTTTTACACCCTATTGATCATATGTAAAATAGTATAAATGTGTTTTATTAAGCCTTTTTTATTATTATTTAAATAACAATTCCTTCAAAAAAAATACCCATGCGATATCTTTTTAAACTCAGATTATTAAAATATAATACATTCACTTGACAAATTTTTATTTTTTAAAAATTATTTAAGAATATTCACCTATTATCGATAGTTCCCCTAACAAACTCTAAAATTGATAATGTAATTTCAAAGATGGGAAAATTTTTCAAGAGAGGTCATCATTCAGATAACGAGGATTCAATTCAAATAATATTTGCCATATCGACTACTGACCTTGCAAATGGCTCATTTTCATTGGTCCCTCCAGAATTAATTATTTCCAGGTTGGAGAGTTCGAACGGCTCCAAAAAATTAGCCAGTGTATTAGGTCTTCACCTAGTTAGACCTCTCAAAAATTCAGCATGTCTAAATAGATCGATTTTATGCCCAAATCAAAGTAAGTCGAAATTGGCCATATTAAACCCTTAAATTTATATTTACATAGGATTTTGATAAATATTTTGCCGTATGGATAGCTTAACGATATAGGTATTGAGTTTAATACGTAATTTTTCAATAATAAAATACCAACCTTGAATAAAAACTGATCATAATCGTAGCATTTTTTAATATATTGTTTTTTTATTTAATTTAACAAGCGCAATGCGTATCAATAGTCAATATAGGATTTTCGAATAAACCTGATGATATGTACCCTATTGTCCTATTGACACATAATTGTATATTAAATTTACAAACAAATACGGTAAAACCTGTTAACGTTTCTATGGATGAGCTAACCAGAGTTCTCGAAAGTGCTACCACAATTTCGCCGCAAGTAATATATTCTAATATGGTTTTTTTTAATTAACCGCTACACTATAAAAAACTTATTTTAAACATAATCGCTTTATATTAGTTTCGTAGACGATACTCGAAAAATTAACTGCATTACATTTTGTGTTACTCTGCAAAAATAATGCCTTTTAAGTAACTTTTTTAAATTTAACGCCTTACCCAAAACGTTACTTACTTGTTATTGTTACTATGAAAAAAATAATGCATAAACAAATTTTATTTCATCAATTATACATTTGTTATTAGAAAAAATCACAATATAATATTAATTTTTTTTTATATTTTAATCTTGAAGAAATTAAAATTTAAAATCTTACAATTTACATTTGTTTTAATTTAGGTTTAAAAAATTTCAATCAAGAGGCCACTATTACGATAAAAAAAATTAATATTGCAAGTGCCAGAAAAAATAAACTATTTGTTTATGGCTAGATTTTTTAAAATCTAATTACTAATATTTGCAAAATTCAAAAAAAGTATAATTCGAATATTTATCAAAATTTATGATTTTTAAAAATTACTAATAATTTATATTTATTGTTCGTCAAATTTTTTACTCTAATCGATTAATTTGTTATTAGCAAATTTAATTGAATAACAAACGAATTGAATAGCTAATGATGATAGAAAGAAATACACATCAACATCACTCTACTTTATAGTATAATTTATGGTACGATATTGAATGATATAAATATGAAAGTTAATTGAAAATATGTTTTTATATTTGAAATACATATTAAACAAAAAAAATGGTTGAAATATGATTATAAAATGTATTCATTCAAAAAAAGGTAACGCGTTACCCTAATTCGTTGCTATATTTCTATAATAACGCCGTCCTCTACTTTATATTAGTGTATAATATGCTCCTTAGACCATTTTTTTTTCAATAATTTGCCTTTTTATGAATAAATTCATGTATTTTATAATAATCAAGGCTGCCTGTTGCTCCGCAGATCATGGTGACAATTTTAACACTTCACTATCACTTCTCATGGGTTCTGCCATTGAAAATGGTCGTTTATTAAATATTAATACAATTGCCAAGAATTATAACGCCTTCACTAAAGCTTCTTTTAATGTTGATACCCATGTCGAGAAAGTAAATCCCCAGAAGAAAAGCCAATTAAATTTATCAAAAAAATTCAACGATTATAGTTACAAAGCTAAAACCAAAAATCTTAACTACAAAATATATGAGCAGGGGCCACCTGGTACTTGTCATTTAGCCCAAATAACACGAGAAAGAAATTTGCATGGTTTCATTAATAGAACATTCGATACCATAGTCCTAGCCTTAATTAAGAATGATCCTCTAAGACAACTCATAGACGAAGACCATGAAAACGTGGTTTCTATAGACGGGTCATCATACTCTGATGAGAGTTATGCCCACTTCTACCTCAAACGCTGGCCTGCAAATTCGAATCCTGTTGAAACCGGGTTTGACAAATCCCATAAAACCATCAAGGCACGGACTATGCCCTTAAACATTTCGTTCGACCTTGCCATTCCATCTATTCCTGAGGTTAGGATTGGTTACGTCACCGTTATAACAATTCGATTTAGGGTAATCAACAAGGCTGAGCAGCATATTTCTAGCTTAAGAGGTCCCCATCAAATTTATTCCCTAAGCTTGCAGAAGCATCATGGTCGTTCGGGATCCCTCAGGCTAATAACCACTTCACGCATTGATCGTGATATAAAACAATATCATTATCCGCAAGTTACTCGAAGCGGAAACGTTTCTCTATTATTGTTTCATGCCAGAGAGGGGCAACGATCACACATATCAGAAAAATCAGGTGACTCCTTAGATGTATTAGAGAGGGAAAATGATGAAAATGGAGAAGAAAAGGAAGAGATAGAAACTCAGATGCAAAAAGCCGTTTTGGGATTGGGTAAGCTAGATCCAATAGGGAAAGCTAATGATTGGAGCCTGGCTCATATAAGAATTTATTCCAATGACATGAGAAAAGGAAGGGTCGAGGTTCAACTCTCCGTGCTAAGTGGATCGTCTAAATCGCTATATTTAAAAAAAGGAAGAATTATTCCAGTTATAGCGGAGGTTGGGGAATGGGAATTGATTTTGGGCACCCGCTGGGATGGTGTACAAAGTGACAATAAAACCGGCTTCGTTGGGTGTTTAGCTAATTTACAGGTTTATATATTTTTATTTAAAATAACGAATATCCGAATTATTTCTAAACTTATCTCTTTTACTATATAAAATAGTTATAAAAAAATCCTGGAGTATCCCGCGTAAAAAATTATAGATTATCAAAGGTCCGTCTGTGAGGGTAGCAGTCCTGTCACGTTGGCATCTTCGGGATGTGTCCTACCTCTCAAAAAGGAATCATTTTTTTTAAATTATAAAATAAAAATATATCGAGTTTTAAAAAGTGAATTTCTTAAAAAAAAATACTACCTACTATCTTTTGAAGATAAGTAACATTTATTCATATTATTTTTTTTATAATATCTTCCCACGTTTATTAACAAAATATAAAATTACTGAGAATGAGCTTATGAAAATAAAAGATGAAATAGTAGGTGGCCCCCATATTTAAAAATATGCCAATATAAGTCCAAATATAAAATAAATTCGTGAAACTAAATTTGTTGACTTCAGCGGAGTCACTAGCCTTTACCATTTCGGAGCTCAAAATTTTTTTAATTTCTGAATTTTTTTCTTATTTTAGAAAATGATCTTTTTTCATTTTCAAGAAGACCTTTTTTAGCTAACATTTTCAAAATGACCTTTTTTAAAATATTTTTTTCAAAAATCAGGGGCTCTTAAAATTTTTCAGGGGACTTGAGCTCCCTGTGCCCCAACTCTAGAAACGCTACTAGTTGACTTTAATTTTACGACATATAGCATTGTTATTTATTAATATGTCCTTTTTTTCTTTCGAATTTGATAATATTTTTTATAAAAAAATTAGTATGAGTATTAAAATATTATGATTTAAAATTTCCTTTATTAAAAAATTATTGGGAAGAAAAAGTTAGGACATATGTGGGCGCGTCCCCTCTAAGGTTAGTGTCTTTTAGGTGCTACCCATTCTAAAAATAAAGGAAGGCGCGAGACTGATCTTTGATAATTGCTATAAAAAAGATGTAAGATATTGATTTTATAAGTTTTTTTGTAGGCCCTACCTCTTTACCATTTTATTTGCTAGTTGACTATTAATCTTATTAACGTAACAAATATTAGATTAATGGATTTAGCCCCATAACCAACATTTTAAACCACGATTCTCTCTTCTACGATATCACTACAAAGTCAACCATAGGATCTCGGCTTTACAACGACTCAACTCTAATATCGCTAGACAATAATAATTTTCTCATTAAGAGGACTCGTTTAATTAACGTCGATTATGAGTGTCCAGCTAAAATGAACCGTAACCACCCTCTTAACCCTAAATTCTTGATTAATGATACAATCGAAGGGCAATGTCTAAATCGAATAGATGAAAGCAGGCCCGAAATATCGCAATTCTTAGGCGTCAAAAATTTTGGGATTAAATGGGCATGCGAATCTCAGCTTACGAGTACAAGGATTAACCTGTCGATCAAAGGTATGCAATTCATTTCTGTTTCTCTTTTTTCTTGGTGAGCTGTTAGATATGTTTTTGCGAATTTGTTATATAATATTTTGTTAATATCTTTTTTATAAGATAGGTTGGTTTCGTTTTTGCAGGATAGATTAATTTTCAATTTTATTTTTAGGATGCGGTGAAGTATGCCCCAATGGAAAAGGCACGATATATTTTAAGAGCCCACAAATTGAAGAAGAATCTCCTTACTCTACATGTTAATATTTTAAAATTCATTCAGCTTAAAAAAAATTATATTATCGATGCCAGCCGAAATAAGATTTTAAATATATTTATAATATATAATTTATATAGTATATATTAAACAAAGTAGGAAAATCACTTAATTCTCTTTTCGTAGTAAAAACATACAAGAACGTTCGAGCGAATAAGATAAGCCAAAATTCTGGCGTTTCGAAATCAATTTTATATATATTCTGAACGTTTATTAAAAAATATTATCATCTTCTTACTAGTTGCATTAATCTCGAATAATTTTCATATTTTAAATAATAGATGAATATTCTTCTTCTTTTCTGTTTCATGGCGATTTCCAGGTTTCCCAGTTAGGCCAGTTTTCCCTTTGATTTTTCTTTTCCATTTTTGACGGTTCTGAGCATCAATATTTGTAAGATTCATTCTCATATCAGCCGCTATCACATTTCTCCACATCATCTTGGGCCCTCCTCTAGGTCTTGACCCCCCTACTTCCATCAAGGTGCATCTCTACCCAGTCATCCTTTGACACATGCCCAAACCATCTTAGTCTATTTCGTCGCATTACCACTCCAATATTGCTCGCAATTCCTTGCTAGTTTTTCTCTTTCTCAGAGATACCCCACACATCCATCTATAATCATCCTCATCTCTGTTCTTTCTAATTTGGCTTCGTGAGTCGCTTTCATTGCCCATGTTTTGCCGCCATAAACTAAACAACTCCTCGCAGCTTACGTAAACTTTCTCCTTTAACTTCAGCGAGACTTTTTTATTTTTTAGAATAGACGACATCTCTCTGAACTTCTTCCAAGCTTGTCTGACCCTTGCAACATGCAAATTCTACACCACCATTTGCGTTTAACATATCACCAAAATAACAAAACTTGTCCACTTTTCCTAGGAATAACCCATTGCCAATATCTAGACCACCATTTTCTATGTTATCATTATTATGTTCCCCTTTTATGCATATTCTATAAATAAAGGTCATTCTTGCTAATATCAAACTTCCTTTTTTACCGCTACATCTATTATGTACCCATTTCTGGCATCTGGTGCATTGGATTGAATTTCTATCAACTCCTTTCCCACATACACCACAAGGTCACTTGCCGGATTGCTCCATCTTTAGATTTTCTCCACCAATCATCACCTTTGTCATTGCTGCATTCATTTTCAGGCCCATTGCTTCCATAGCCATCTTCCATTTACTAATTTTATCCCTCATTCTTCCTGACTGTTACCATTAATACAAGGTCATCTGCATATAATAGCTCCCACGGAAGTCTTTCGTGCCACCACATCCATTGTTAAGATGAATAATAATGGATTCAGCATGGATTTTTGATGAAGTTCCTACCTTCACTTCAAAGTTTTCACTATATCCATCATCCGTCCGTGATGCAGTTTATGCTCCCACATTAGTGTTGTTAAAACGCCGCGAGTCACGACCCCGACCCAAAGCTCGGGTCGTTTTATTCGACTCCGACTCAATGTTTGGGTCGTTTTTTTCGACTTCGACCCGAGTTCAAGCCGAAAAAAACGACTTCGACCCAAAATATGGGTCGTTTTTTTAGACTCCGACCCAAGTCCAAGCCAAAAAAAACGACCTCGACCCAAAATATGGGTCGTTTTTTACGACTCCGACTCAAAATTTGGGTTGTATTTTTCGACAAACTTGAAATTTGTGTCGTATTTTTCAACTCAAACTTGAAATTTAGATCGTATTTTTCGACTCCAACTCAAAGTTTGGGTCGTTTTTCAACATCGGGTCGTTTCATTCAATCAGACCCAAAATATGGATCTTTTTTTTAAAGACGACTTAAAGTTAGGGTTGCTTTTTTTCACCCCTAACCCAATATCTAGATCATTTTTTTCGACCAAAAGTCAAATAACATTTAGTATATATTAATATTATAGGCGGGAAAGTTACTTAAAGCTTCTTTAAATTATAATGCTCTGATTAACTATTCATCATAGTTATATTTTAAAATTTTTAAGTGAAGATGTACCAAAGAAAAGTGCCATTTGTCATGATGGTTATTTTTGAACTTTTTTAAATGAAATAGATAAAAATATATATTGTAGACATGTTAAATTAAAAATTCAGTGAGGATGTATCATAGATAGGTGACAATTGTCATAATCGCTATTTTTGAACTTTTTCAAATTTTTTTAAAGGAAATATCTAAAAATATATATTCTAAACTTGTTAAATTAAAAATTCAGTGAGGATGAATCATAGGTGACAATTGTCATAATCGCTATTTTTGAATTTTTTCAAATTTTTTTAAAGGAAATAGCTAAAAATATATATTCTAAACATGTTAAATTAAAAATTCAGTGAGGATGTATCATAGATAAGTGACAATTGTCATAATCGCTATTTTTGAACTTTTTCAAATTTTTTTAAAGGAAATATCTAAAAATATATATTCTAAACTTGTTAAATTAAAAATTCAGTGAGGATGAATCATAGATATGTGACAATTGTCATAATCGCTATTTTTGAACTTTTTCAAATTTTTTAAAGGAAATAGCTAAAAATATATATTCTAAACATGTTAAATTAAAAATTCAGTGAGGATGTATCATAGATAGGTGACAATTGTTATAATCGCTATTTTTGAACTTTTTCAAATTTTTTTAAAGGAAATATCTAAAAATATATATTCTAAACATGTTAAATTAAAAATTCAGTGAGGATGTATCATAGATAGGTGACAATTGTCATAATCGCTATTTTTGAACTTTTTCAAATTTTTTTAAAGGAAATATTTAAAAACATATATTCTAAACATGTTAAATTAAAAATTCAGTGAGGATGTATCATAGATAGGTGACAATTGTCATAATCGCTATTTTTGAACTTTTTCAAATTTTTTTAAAGGAAATATTTAAAAACATATATTCTAAACATGTTAAATTAAAAATTCAGTGAGGATGTATCATAGATAGGTGACAATTGTCATAATCGCTATTTTTGAACTTTTTCAAATTTTTTTAAAGGAAATATCTAAAAATATATATTCTAAACTTGTTAAATTAAAAATTCAGTGAGGATGTATCATAGATAGGTGACAATTGTCATAATCGCTATTTTTGAACTTTTTCAAATTTTTTTAAAGGAAATAGCTAAAAATATATATTCTAAACATGTTGATTTAAAATTCAGTGAGGATGTATCATAGATAGGTGACAATTGTCATAATCGCTATTTTTGAACTTTTTCAAATTTTTTTAAAGGAAATAGCTAAAAATATATATTCTAAACATGTTAAATTAAAAATTCAGTGAAGATGTATCATAGATAGGTGACAATTGTCATAATCGCTATTTTTGAACTATTTTTTTCCACCTAAAGTCAAATAACATTTAGTATATATTAATATTATAGGCGGGAAAGTTACTTAAAGCTTCTTTAAATTATAATGCTCTGATTAACTATTCATCGTAGTTATATTTTAAAATTTTTAAGTGAAGATGTACCATAGAAAAGTGTCATTGTCATGATGGTTATTTTTGAACTTTTTTAAATGAAATAGATAAAAATATATATTGTAGACATGTTAAATCAAAATTTCAGTCACTGAATTTTTAATTTAACATGTTTAAAATATATATTTTTAGATATTTCCTTTAAAAAAATTTGAAAAAGTTCAAAAATAGCGGTTATGACAATTGTCACCTTTATGATACATCCTCACTGAATTTTTAATTTAACATGTTTAGAATATATTTTTTTGATATTTCCTTTAAAAAAATTTGAAAAAGTTAAAAAATAACAATTATGACAATTGTCACCTATCTATGATACATCCTCACTGAATTTTTAATTTAACATGTTTAGAATATATTTTTAGATATTTTCTTTAAAAAAATTTGAAAAAGTTCAAAAATAGCGATTATGACAATTGTCACCTATCTATGATACATCCTCACTGAATTTTTAATTTAACATGTTTAGAATATATATTTTTAGCTATTTGCTTTAAAAAAGTTCAAAAATAACGATTATAACAATTGTCACCTATCTATGATACATCCTCACTGAATTTTTAATTTAACATGTTTAGAATATATATTTTTAGCAATTTGCTTTAAAAAAATTTGAAAAAGTTCAAAAATAGCGATTATGACAATTGTCACCTATCTATGATACATCCTCACTGAATTTTTAATTTAACATGTTTAGAATATATATTTTTAGCTATTTGCTTTAAAAAATTGAAAAAAGTTCAAAAATAACGATTATAACAATTGTCACCTATCTATGATACATCCTCACTGAATTTTTAATTTAACATGTTTAGAATATATATTTTTAGCAATTTGCTTTAAAAAAACTCAAAAAAGTTCAAAAATAGCGATTATGACAATTACCACTTATCTATGGTACATCATCACTGAAATTTTGATTTAACATGTCTACAATATATATTTTTATCTATTTCATTTAAAAAAGTTCAAAAATAACCATCATGACAAATGGCACTTTTCTTTGGTATATCTTCACTTAAAAATTTTAAAATATAACTATGATGAATAGTTAATCAGAGCATTATAATTTAAAGAAGCTTTAAGTAACTTTCCCGCCTATAATATTAATATATACTAAATGTTATTTGACTTTTGGTCGAAAAAAATGATCTAGATATTGGGTTAGAGGTGAAAAAAAGCAACCCTAACTTTAAGTCGTCTTTAAAAAAAGATCCATATTTTGGGTCTGATTGAATGAAACGACCCGATGTTTGAGTCTGAGTCAGAAAAACGACCCAAACTTTGAGTTGGAGTCGAAAAATACGATCTAAACTTCAAGTTTGAGTCGAAAAATACGACCCAAACTTCAAGTTTGAGTCTAAAAATACGACCCAAACTTGATCTTCCAAGTGTTCTTAATACCACTACTATCAATCACCATTTTTCCTTCCATATTTTCCAATCATCTAACATCTACCACATCCTGCCTATTTTTTGCTATCTGCTTTGCCATTCGAGCCACATTTCCCATTCCTTCAGCGCACTCAATTTCTTTAACAAACTCCTGCCTTTTTTTTCTTGTGTCTTCGCTATTAATTTATTAACATTTCTTTTCGCCATCTTGTAAATATAATTATCACTATTTTCTTTACTATTATACCATTCTTTGAAGCACCTGCGTTTCTCATCCACAGCTTTGGCTACCTCCGAGTTCCACCACCAAGTCTCCTTATGTCTAAGTGACCCTTTTGTCCATTCACATACCTACTCAGTTGTCATCACCCAAGCTTTCTTCATGGTCTCCACTTGTCATTTACCCCAGATGCTTGTGCCACCTCCACCTGCCTTATCGCCAATGTCATATTGAATTGACGTCTAGTACTCTCCTCCTTAAATTTTCAAACCTTCAGCCTTGCCACAAAATTTCTTTTAGTGTTCCTGGCCCCTTTAAAAGTGAGATTTCCTATAACTATTAGATGCTGACTAATACATTCCTCTCCCGATATCACTTTCACATTTTTTACTATACATCTATTTTAATAACAAATAATCCAATGCAATTTTGGTACTACCCGACTTATAAGTCACCAGCTTCTCTGATTCTTTCTTAAACATTGTATTACAGATAATCATATCCATAGCATCACTAAAATCCTCCCACCTACAGATTTCTCATGCCGTAACTGAATCCTCCATGTACTCCTTCATAACCCTCACTACTTGCTCCCACAAATCCATTCAGATCACCAGTCAGGAATCCCCTTTTCATTTGCCAATCTCGATGTCGCCCCTAATAGATGGTCTCAAAATATATTTTCTCTTCCAACCTGAGGAACATTTGCCGAGAAAATATTATATAGTTTTCTACCAAAAATCATCTTGATAATCATTATCTGGTTATCTAACCTTCTCACTTCGACTACTTTGTCCACCAATTTCTCCCCAATAACCCAACTCCAACCTTACCCTCATTGCTTCCTTGCTAGAAGAATTTATACTTTTCACTAGTCTTCCATCGTTCTTGCGCCATTACCCTTCCATCTGGTCTCCTGTATACAATACATCGACCACTTCTCCCGCTCTTCCCGTCATACTCCCAATATTCCATGTCGCAACCCTTATTCGATCCCCCGTAAACTGGTTTCTCCACTTATTATCAGGTCGTTTATGGTCGTCATAAGTTTCATTTTCACGAATCGTAGTTCCACTCATCCTTCTTTTTACACACCGTCGAGGAGACGGTGATCCTATTCTAGACTTAGATCACAGGGAACCTTTCCTCCACTAGCCGCCAAAAGACGTTGCCACTCCCCCGCCCCAATGAGGCAGAAGGTAGGATTTTGGGAGAGAAATAATAGATGACCTCCATTTGAGTCGATTTTTATAAATGGGTATATTTTATCTCGAAAAATATTATGAAATTTTTTCATAGACAGCACAAAGGTTTAAATTATTAGTCAAATCTCGAGGCATAGGCAATATTTTTCTAGCTTAAATATTAAGTTTACCGTTTTTAAAAAAATACTCAAATGAAGCATTTTGCACGATATTTTAATGCTTAATTTTGCAAACGCTTGTATACTCGTATGCTTTCCTCTCCCCATATTTTTAAAATATGTTTCCAACATTAATATAAAAAAGCATACTGCATTTACCAACTCACATTTAACGATTCCCAAATAATTGATGTTAAGACTCATGGCAACAGCTCATCAACATTAATCCACTCCATAAAAGGATGGTTTGCATCTCTAGATCCCGTAGACTATCTCAAATTCTTTTTTACGTTGCCCGCCATAGTTTTCATGTCTCTAACCATGTTAATGGTTTGCGGACATTATTTTTGTCGATACAAAAGAAGGAGGAAAAATGGTCATCTCAAGAAGCTTACATCGTTTTATTTCCCGACAAGTGCTAATGATGTTAATGAGAATTATAATAATAACGGAATTAAAGGACACATTGATCCTAATAACAATTATAATCGGAGCTTGAATGTCACTAATGATAGCCCAAGTGGAACTGAAAGATCTACTCTCATCAAAAGTAAGGTAGGCAAATACGGAAAGGATTCTAAAAATTGTGATAAAGGTGGATCTCGATATGCCATGCTTTCAACTCGCAAAACGCTTCAAATTACAGATGATATAGCCAGAGACCCCCAATTATGTGTAGGAAATAATATCCATCATAGTGATCTGCATCGCCTAATTTTTTAAACACATCCCGCCCCGAATTTATTTAAATATACAAATTTTATAATTAATCAAAATAAAAGAAATATGTTATATGGCGTCTACGTCTAGTTTCTAGAAATAAAATCAAATTTTTATTTTTCATAAAAAATTCAACATAAAATTGATAAATTTAGATATATTTTAAAAATAATCAGCCCGGCCCGAGACAGATTTCTAATCCATTAAATGATTTAAAATTTGGGGAAAATTTATTGATCTTATATATTTATATTATATATACTAATATTTTGCGTTAAGGTCCTGATGAGTAAAAGCCTCAAATTTAAGGAAAAAAACGAAAGAAAGCTTAAAAAGAGGAGTAATTTTTTTAAATTTTTCGGTAAATCCGACCACAGCCAATCCCACCAAAACATAGATGAGAGCTTATCCTATAACCCTTCAACCCCGATGGTTCGCTTAAATAACAACGTAATTATCCACCGCAACAATTTAGCGGTGAGCCGATCAATCTTAACCGAATCTCGCTCCGACAATATCGATAAAGGCTCGTTCCAAAAATGCTTGCCTAGAGCAAAGGATAAGGCCGTCTATAGCAGTTACGATGATAATGAAGATGATGCTAGCAGCATGGATCGTACCTGTACCCTCAATAGTAGTATGACCACAATATCCCATCAGAAAAGCAAAGTGACAACTGTTACTGGTCATACTGCTAAATCTCAGCAATTTACGCTGAATCTCAATGTCAATACTTTTCTTAGCGATCCACTTTCGGCTGGCAACGATAATAAAAATGGCGGGAAACTCACGAATGCAAAAAGCCAGCAGACTGGTGTTTGCGACGAAAAATTGCTAAGAGATATAACTAAAGACGAAATGAAAAGAATAAGGTTTCATTTTTTTTACTACCTTCGTGTATAATAGAGACTTATACTAAAATCTCCAAGGTTTGGCCTTTAAATTTAGATTATTATCTTGTTCCAAAAAAAATCAGTTCAGGCAATATATTATCTTTAAAATTTTATAATTATACTAATTTTGCTTGAATTAATTTTTTCTTTTTTAAAAAAATGAAAACATCTATATACCAAAAAAAATTTCAATACATTTAGCAAATTAAGCAACTTCGATCTCGACACATCCCCAAATACGAAGGAATGGAACATGAATAACATCGTCGCCATTCAAAACGATAAAACTAATAATTTAACAATAAAAAATGATTTAAATCTGAAAAGTAGTCACTACAACAAACTGGCCTATGATTATTACCCTCCTTGCAACCTCAATATGCAAGATAAATTAAACGTTATAAACGATAAAAAAAATTAACCCTCAAAAAATCTTTGAGTTGATTATTTTACATTTGTAGACGAAAACTTAAAACCAATTTACTAAGACTGTCAGCTTAAAAATAATTGTTTGCAAAATTTATTATATTTTGTTTAATGTGTATCTATTATATGTTGTTTAATGTATATTTAAATAAATTCCCAATAGTTCCAATGTATGAATGACGAAATACAACTTCTTTTAATGAATGGTAAAGAAGTTCGGGACGAAAACATATTCAAGCCATCGCCCTTAACTAAACACTACAAGCTTTCTTTCAAGGAACCCAAAACTAATAATTTTGATAGAAGTACAATTAATTCAAACCTAACATTGTAATTTATTTTCAAATAAATTTATAATACTGTTTTATTTTTTAAAAAAGAAGCTAATCAACGTTTAAACACATTACTGACCAGCAATAATAAATTCGATAGGATTTACACCAAGAACAAAAACCGACCTTTATCCTTCAACCAGGCCATATCATTTAACTCACGTAAATGTTTAAATAAATCATCGCCTCCCTGTATAATCATAAATCCTAGAAATAATCATCATTAAATATCATGCATTTTTTTTAAAAAAATATTTGATAAAATTCATCAAAATACAATAAAGTAAATCCCCCGTAAAACAAAAGAACCAATCTTAAAAAGGCATGGTAGATAGATATTTACGTTTACTTAATCTATATTCTAAAAAATAAATACCTAGGTTCAGAACTCAAAAATCTTGTACCTCGACACTTTAAAAGTAATCATACTCTGGCAGCTCAGAATAACACGGAAACGTCAATCATAAATTCTATAAGCACGGACGAAAGTTTTGACAATTACAAAGGCGCCTTCGATATCAAAAAATTGTTCGCGCTCTTAAACCCTGAATCTCAAATAAGCACCACACTGGCTGAGAGCCAGAGACTCGATAATATTTTAAATAATGTAAGCTATTTATCAATATCACGGTACAGTCAAGTTAGTGGTCAAAGATTTTAGACTTTTTTTGAATGAGTGAAAACTGTTTGTATGATTTGAAGTTGAGATTTGAGATATTACTCCCTTATGGCCTAATAAATATGAATTGAATAATTTTTGATTCATATTCGAACAAAACGAATAATTTACTATTCGATTGAAATCGAAATAAATCTAATTTCAGTTCGTTTTTGAAGCCCGACCTTAAACAAATAGATTAATATTTTTTTTACTGGATTAAACTTAAAAATGAAATTAATAAACAAAAATTATATTTCAAGGCGATCGATGATTATTTTTATACGCCATCAAATGACGAGAATTTAGATACCGAAAATACAGGATTACTAAATCCATAAACAGTTTTTTTTTATTTTTATATCAATGTTAAAGTCTTTCAAGCTCATTTAAAGCTAGTTTAAACAGCCATATTCTAGTTACAACCCCTCGTTTCAAAATTTATTACAAAATTAATGCAATTTCGATTATTTTTGAATGTATTTTTTTACATAAAAACTTTTAAAATAAATTAAAACATAACTCGTTTTTTTAGAGATATCGACTTTACGACCAATCATTTGATAAATGCTCATCCATTACAATTGTACCGTATTTTTTTGCCCCAAACTACATCATTTGAAAAATGCATTTATCTCCTAAAAATTTAATTAAATTAAGTTTTAAATTTTTCAAACTCTACTCTCATCCCATATCAATTAGTCAATTTATTACATATTTTTTATATGTTTGTTATTTATATTATATTGTTTTTAATATTATTGAATTTTTTAAAAATATTATATAATTTTTATTAAAAAAAAATACATTTATTATAAACTTTTTCTTATTTTTAAAGATATAGATTGTTAAACAATAAATTGTGTAAAAACACATCGGGTCTTCAATATTTTTAAAAATATCATTAGGAATTATAAAATGTCTAGGTGATAACCATTAATGAATAGCGATTTAAAAAAACACTATGCTCTCTGGCGAAAACTATAAGATATTTAAAAAAAATTTTTTTAGAAATAATATAGTTAAATTATGACAAATTCATAATCTAATTATATTATAACTTTTTTAAACCAACAAAAATGTGATTTTAAAAAAGTGGAGATAGACCCTTAATGTAAATTTAATTACAATAAGTGCGAAAAGGCAAAATTGTAAATAACTATATAATATTAAAATTATAAATCTAAAAACAAATTGTTTGAAGAAGATCAGTGTATTAAACCCCTATACAAAGTGTTTAACCTTGAAAAAATCACTTCCCAATATATTTGGCATCTTTCTTTTTGGCTAAAAATGGATATTTTTTGAAGTTTTTTTACATTACGTTTGACGCATTCTGGATTAAAAAAATCGCATATAACTATAATAATAATTAGTCATAATACTTTTTGACAAAATCATCGTGTTTGGGGGTAATTCAATTCTAGCTGTAAAATTTGTCAAATTATTAATACCCAAGTGGATGGGTAGAATGAAATATGATATTATGAAAGTCCAATATTAAATTGATAAAGAAATAAATTCAGACAAAGGGAGAAAGTAAGAATTTAGGTCAGTTGAAAGTGAGGGTAAAAATGGGGGTGATATTTGAATTTCGGAGTTGGCCCCGGGCGTAATGACCTAAAGAATAAGGTAAAATAAAGCATCCCAAGGAGGTAAATATTAAGTAAAGGGGGGGGGGTGATAAGTGAATGAAGGCGAGGGGACAAAAAATATGGTGGAGTTTATTTGGATAGTGAAGGGGGAAGGGTCGTAAAATAAAATTTAATATTTTATAAGAAAATGAAGTTCAGGTAAAAAGAGATAGTATGAGAATAGACTGGGTAAAAATGAAGAGGTCTGGATTAGGGCTGGACAAATACATTCCAAAAAAAATTTAAACAAACCAGTTATTTTTCAATATTTAAAAATAGAAAAATCATATACAAATTTTTTTTTTAAATGTAAAATAATAACAATCTTAGTGCTATAACTAGCAAAACCCTCAAATTCTATTATTTTTAGTCTTCCTTATTGAGGCTTAATTTCTTTTATAAATTTAAAAATTAAATATTTTTTATTAACAAGCATGATAAAAATAATGATTATGGCCGGTTAAACTAATATAGGACCCAATAATAATTAAATCATTAGGCCAAAAGAAGATAGAACTATATCTTAATATATAAATAACATTTAAAATTAATTTATAAAGGTAAAGAGATGGAGAGGACCCATAGGAATAATATTTCAACCCTAATTCAATTTAGACGAGAAAACGGACATAAAACCCTATACTAATCAAGCAGCATTATATATATGTTAGCCACATGTATTGATTTGCGGAAAAAATTTTGAGATCTATAAAACGTTATAAAAAAATTTAATACTAAAGCAAAGAAGATATCAAAATTATCGTACATGTATACTAATATAAATATTATAAGAACTCAATTCTAAAGATAGGGAGCTACGTAAGCCTGCGATAATTCCATGACCGCTTCTTGAATAGCTGGAGAACGACTAAGACTGGATGGTAAGATAGGGCGACAATTATCGAAGTATAGGCCTGTAGAATTACCCAATTCAGGTGCCAATGCTAGGTACAAAATAGTTTGGGCTCCTTGAATGGGTTTACGTAGTAGATCTAACCAATTTAAGAGTTTTACCAACATCAAGACGGGGCTAGCGAAGTGTTGGTACAGCCCGGGAGTATATATGATACCTGGGTGGCAACAGTTGACATTTACGACCCTGTTACCGTGGTGAGATTTATCCAGAATTTTGGGTAAAAATTTATCAAAAGGCGATCCTTTCCTACTGGGTGATAGTATGTTGGCTAGGCTAATGGTCCAAGCTGTTAGGGCAAGCTTGGAGCGAGCGTAGAAAGCGTGACCTGAGGAGTAGTGCCTAAATGCGTGAGAAGTGTAAAATTGAAAAGAAATACAAAGGCTGCAATAAATCTGAAGTTCTTGCAAATATTTTCTTTCAAAATATATAACTAATAATTGGACATATCTCTTAAAATCAGTGGCTTCTACAACGGGGTGAGAAGGGGGTACCAGGCAAGTGCTTCATTACATTTGTGAGGGGGTTATACACATTCAAAGCAATTTTATCCAACTCTATGAAGGCACCCATCAAAAAAATTTTAAAAATTAAATCTCAAAATAAAATATATTTTCTCATTGAAATTTACACAAAACATTATAGATCTTTTATTCAAGAAAAAAATACAAATAATAGTGGGAGTCAAATTTTTTTTACTTTAAATAATGTGATTTACTTACATTTATTTTATGTTGATTTTCCAAATAAACTAAAGAAAGGGTACATATGTATTCTTTGGTGATATCGATACCATTAATGAAGAAGGGTTATATGCAAAATTAAGCTGATTAAATCTCGACTTTGAAGCATGATGAAAAATAGAAAAAACTTTAGTAACAAAATTAGAAGACATGTTTCTTCTATCAATTTATCGGAAAAATTAATTAAGTTATTTTGTTAAAGAAAATCATTCATTTAATTTCTTTTTACAATTTATATTCCACTGCTCCTTCAATCCTTATTTCAAAATATTCAATACCATTTTAAGGGTAAATTCAAACTAAAAAAACAGGGGGAGGGGGGATTTTATAAATATTGTTGCTCTTTTTTAGGAGGGTATTTTTGATTCAAAGGATTAGAGGATATAGAAGCCACTGCTTAAAATATTGGTAAAAACAGAAATAAAAAAAATATACATTATGTTCAAAAAGTTTAATTGCTTTTCCAGCCTAGTTTAAATTTGGTCAGTGGTTGCTGATGTTCTTAAATGGCCTAATTTTTAAAACGGCTAAATCAAGATTTTAGCATTTTAGCCAAACAAATATTATCTAAGCCTCTAGATTCAGCTGAAAAAAAGTCAAAACTTTCAGCCATAATTTGGGAAAATTTTGAAGCTTAGATAATATTTGTTTGGCTAAAATCTATTTTGACACTAGTGGTTACTCTTTTTTTATACGGAAGTTATAAATATACCTTTATTTCCAACATAAGGTAATTCGGGTTTGATAAGGTTTTTTTATATTATATATTAAGGCTGTGCCGATATTAAATATCGGATCAGCACCGATATTTAGCCGATTCTATATTTTTTTTGGTTATTTTATGATTGTATATATAAGTGTATACTTTTTGTTATTTTATAAATAATTACATAATAATATATTAATTAGAGGAACTAAAATACAATTTATTTGTTGTTCAAAAATAGTTAAAAATTTTACACTATAATTTGTTAATTATCTACATCAAGGAAAGGATTTTAAAATATCCAACAAATCACATTCAGCTAATGTTGTTAAACAGCTCAATTTAGCCAATTTTTTAAAATGCCAAAAGTAAATTACTCACGTTCATTTTGCCCACACATGGCGGAAAGGTTGGAATTTCGAGACTTAGGTAATAATATTTTGGCTAAAATCTTGATTTAGCCTTTTTTTAAATAGGCTAAATGGTGTTGTTTAAAAACTTTACACATTCACCCATAAACATTGGAAATATTTTAAATGATAATAACTTTTGGAAAATAAAAAACAAAATACACTTAATCATTCGTGAAAGTTAGTTGGTTTTTATAAAAATAGAAAATATTGTTACTTTTATGATAATGGTTCAAAGATAGAATCAATATAAATATTGGATCAATATTTTAGGAAAATCGAATCGGCACGGCCCTATTTTATATGAATAAACATTCGAATAGTGATATAAATGGAATGATTATTATATTTTGATATAATGAATAACTTGTGTAAACATTAATATATAAATGAAGAACCAGTGATTATATGATCTTGGTTATAATGTTGATATATCATTTCACATTGCAAAATGGATATTATAATGACGCGGTCAGTGCACATAATTTACAATGATAAAATTAGCATTTGGTTAGAAATTTTTAAAAACTATATCAGATTATTAAAAATATATTATAATTTAACGATTGAAAAGATGTAAACATTATTACGCTACTGTACTTAAACGCTGAAAATTATAAATTTACAAAAGGCCAAAGATTATTTTTGCTCATCGTATTGAATTCTTAAGAACTAAAAGAAATCCTGGAAAAGGTAAAGGTATTAATAATTTTGTAAATAGATTAAAGGGCATGTGTAAATATATGAAAGAAACGTTAAAGGACAACTTTATTAATAACATTGGATCAACTTGCGATAGAGACGTGTACAAAATTACCAGTATATTTGCATGTAAGCTAAAGTATGTGAGCTATTTTGGCGTCTGAGATTGAAACAAGTATGTTTTATGGAAAAGAAGATTCGACACTTGTCCATCCGATTTCAATGATAAGTTGATTAAAGATATTATAGTTGGTATATCCATCCTTATAAAAAGACTATTGGATCTCTCTACGGTTTACATAACAAAGAGATAACTCAATAAGATTTTATTAGAAATGCTCATTTTCTAAGCAGGGTTGCCAGACAGTGGCCCCTACATTTTTTGAGCGAATGAAGCAGAATACCCCCAAGAAAAATACCCCCCCCCTTCGAAAAAATGATAATTATGACACCCATAAATTTCAAAAATAATTTTTATTGCATCAATTTTTAATATATAATATAAATAAAATGCAAAAAATATAACTTTATAAATATTATTTTTAAATTAATAATTTAGATAAATTAGGGGAAGAGAAAGCGAAAGAATTTATAATTTCATCAGTATTTAATTGTTTAAATAAAAAAATTTCCATTGATAATATCAATATGGTTAAATTATTGAGAAAAGAATCTTTCAAGGTACTGCGCAGTCTTGTTTTAATTAATTTAATTTTACTCATTACTCTTTCGGCAGTACATGAGGTTGTGGGAATGGTTAATAAATATTTATATAAAATTCTTAAATTAGGGAAAGCAAAAATTTTAAAGTAAACGATAAGGTAAAATAAATGAATAGTTTTTCCAATCTGAATCGTAAGTCCCTGAATTATCATAATCATCAGAAGAAGCTAAATAATGTATTGGTAAAAATATTTTAATTAAATAAATTTACAATTCTCAGAATCTGACAAATCTTTAGATTCTTGAACCTCTAGGTCATGAGTAATAATTACATTCCCTATTTTGGCCATCTTATAAATATTTCTAAACTTCAACATTTCTTCGAAAATTTGACTTGAATTTAAATTGTAAAATTCACAGATATCCTCGATATCTTCTTTAATAATTGATTTTTCTGCCATTCCCTTTGGCGTAAAAAATTATGTTTGATGTAAAAATTTCATTGAATCATCATTAAATCTTTCATTAAACTGCATAATAATTAAATCGAGTGCAGCATAAAACACACCTATTTTAAAGCTAAAAAAATTTCTATATTTAATGATGAAAGTATATATACCTCTCCTTTTTGGATTGTAATGTTTGAAGTCTAGAACTTTCAAAATCAAAAGGTAGATTTCTCTCCTTCATAAAATCTTGCGCCTTTGAAAAAACATCCAAAAATTCAGTGTCATTATCTATTAGATTAAAAAATAATTAAGACAATAATTTATATTATACTTCTCAAATTAATCAAGCTATCTTTTGCCAATTGAATTTGATTTATTGCATACCCTATATCCTTCGAAATGGTTTGCAATTTTGTACAACCAAACTTGTTATCAACAATATTTTATCCAAAACACAAAGTGATAAGATAAATCAAATTTTTCTATTCTAAAGACTATAGCACTGCCATAGTGGAAGTGGCAGGATCTTCAGAATCCTTTAAATTTGTTAAAGCTGCCCTCAAGGCATCATAAAGTTGAAAAATTTTTACAATAGCTTTATATGACGATAGCCAGCTTCTAAATAAAAAGAACATTTAAAATTTAAATAAATAAGGAACTATTACCGAGTGGTATTCTTGACGCGTAGAAATCGTTGCGATTTTTTCAGATCATTACACTTAAATTTTTTGAGTACCTCATATTTTTTTACACCATTAAAATAGACATAAATCTTATCTAGTGTTCCTAGAACATTTCGAAGTTTTTTAATTGATTGGCATAATTGAACAACGATTAAATTTAATCGATGACAATAACACCAAATAAAAGCTGCCTTTGGCGCCTCTGCTCTAATCAAGGCTTGCACACCATTGATTCTTCCACTCATGTTTGAGGCGCCATCATAACTTTGCCCAACTAGATATTCAAGGGGTAAATTCATCGAGCCAAGTTTGGATATTATATTATGCTTTATATCGAGACCTGTGGTATTTCCCGTACAATATATGTCAATCAGTCTTTCAACAGGCTTCGGCGTCTCACTATTTTCAACATATCTTGCTATCAAAGCTATTGCTTCTGATTTAGAAACATCGTATGTGCCATCAACTATGATTGAAAAACACCTGTTAAATGTAATCTCATTTTGAATTTTTTTTACAACCATATTTTTCATGGTTTCAATGAGAATGCTTATGTTATTTTATTATATGATAATAGGTTTGAATATAATTTCGTTTTTAATCCCTTATTTTTTTTATCCTTTTTTCTTTCTTCATTTTGCTGTATATACATTTTTAGTATAGGTTCAGAATCTGCAATAAGCTTAATAAGGGCCATCATATTGCCTTCTTGTTGCCTGTTCCCCCAGAAGGCTTGGTTACGAGATATTAAATAAAATTTACTAAACATCGACCAAAATTTCCGTAAATATATTAAATTAAATATTAAGTGGTGGTGGGGGGTTTATTATTACATTTATAAACCAGAAATCACATTATCATGATGGATGTAAAAAAAAAATTAAAAAATTTTTAAAAAAAGTACCCCCAATTTACTCCCCCCCCCCCGTTTTAGGGGCCCCTGTTGCCAGATATTCTTCACTTGAAAACGTGAGTTTTTTTTTTTATAATAATTAATGGGGGACTTCGCCCCCCATATCCCCCACCCCCAATTCCCGAGCCTTTGGCCGGGGTAATTGATGTAGCATACTCATCTAAGTTAATATGTTATATTTAATATACCAAGATTTTAAAGACAATGAAAATTCTTTATTGATTTACTAATAACAATTATGATATATAATTTTCTCATGTTTATAAATATAGCATAATATTAATTATTATATTTTATGGATGATTTTAAAAGTTGCAATAAAGATTTCCCATCGGCACTGTGGAGATAGGCTGAAAATGCATGAATAGTTATATTTTGTTTAACCATAAGTTCAGCTTCCAATGATGACGTTCTTTTCGCCAAGCAGTAGTCATTAGACTGAATATTCTCTCTGATGAAGCATTTGAATGCGGAATAGAAAATAGAAAATTGCATATTTTCTCTATCAATGGTGAGTTTTTATTAGAAAGAAAATCCATCCATTTTTCTTGGGTATTCATGTGATAGTTTTTTGATAATTTTTCTTCATAATAAGAATAAAATTGTGAATATTCCTCAAAGAGAATTTCTGTATCTAGGTTTGGTATTTTATAATTACTAATAATTTTTTGCAATTGTTCAAATTCTGGACATTATTTTAATGTCATAGGGCTAAGATATTTCCATATATTATCTATAATATCATAACTATGTAAAATAAACATATGGTTATCATGATTTTGTGCTATTATTGGATAAAACATAGTAGGAGGAAGCAAATTGACTAACTAGGCATGTTTTTTTGAAATTTTTTTAAATATTTACTTAAAAAATAAATAAATAATAGAATTTTATTTCTCAAAATTATTATTTATAAATTAAAAATTTTAATGCTGGAGAAATTTTAAAATTGCAGGAGTTTTGTAGGAGGAATATGTCTGTGGGTAAACTAATATGTGAGTCTCCCACTGATGGGATGGGGGACCTGGCAACCCTGTATATAATATGCTGCTAATTTTACCAGAAAGTAGAAATATAATGTTTTACTTGAATTTGCCAGCTTAACACATTACTCAAAAATAAAATTAAAATACTTGCAATACAAATATAATTTGAACATAACATATCTAATTATATAAAAATATTACTTGCCATCAAGGTTATCAATGTCAAGGATCCCAATATAATGTAAAACAGATGATAAGTTTATTATACGTGCATCATAATTTTCTGCATATTTTCCATCATTGTTTTGTAATAAAGGAAGAAGTAGATATGTTAAAAGTGTAGGTCCCAAAAAATTGATTATAAAATGCTTGTCATTTATTATTATTTGGTTTTTAATATCCATTTTTTGGAATAATTTATAATCATTATTCACTAAGCTTAACAGCAAACATATTTTACCGTAACCATCTTCAGAATAATTCTTAGATTTTGGTGACATAATACCTGCATTGTTAATTAATACATCAATTTTTTTATATTTTAATTTTAAGACATTTGAAAAGGTTACGATCGATACTGGATCTAAAAGATTCAAATAATGATAGGATATTCTCCCTTTCTTAAACTTATCATCATTGCCATTTATAATTTTTTTGATTGCATATTCACCCTCAATTCGTTGATTACTTGCTATAAATATACAAAATACTTATAAAATCTAAGTTAATATACCAATAATTACGTCCATACCTATATTATAGAGAGCTTTAGACACTTCATATCCAATGCCTGAACTACCACCGGTCACCAGAATTACTTTTTTTATAAGTGCTTCTTGATTATAATATATCACTGATGATGTCAGTTCATGTATATGGGATTTTAATGAAACATAATAATGAAGGATTAAAAATCTTATCGTATTGTATATCCTAAAAAAAAATTTCAATCCTGAGGAATAATTTAGCATTTTAAATAAACAGCTGACGTTTAAATAATCATTTTTTATTTATGCTAAACTACATCATGACAATAGTAATTATAGTATTTAATTTTGATCAACTCTTACGTTTATACTGAAAATGCATACTAATAATTTAACTAGGTACCGCCTCTATCAATTGGTAAAATATTATTTTTTTTATTAACTAACTTTTATAGTTATTTTAATTAACTAATAGATTTTAAAAAAATAAAAATAAAACCAAATATTATTTTATGGAATATGACATAGGCGTAGCCAGGGGGGGGGATTAAATTTGAAACAGTTCCTAAGGCTAAATAAAAACAAAAAATCTATAAAGAAATTACTAAAAATTAAATCGAACTACCTAAATCTCTCAAAAAAATTTTTTTATTTTTTTGAATTTTTTATTTCTGGATTTCAGGTTATTTAATCTCTTCATTTCTCAATTTACCTCCTGACTTTGTCTTTCACCTTTTCTGTGAATTACTTGCTTCACTGACATTAGCTTTTATTTATCTTATTGACTTAATGTACTAATTTAAATCAGACTGTCCCATATTTTTAAATACATACATTACATATGCAATGTCTTAGGTGTTGTTGTACTTCTATACTTTTCCCATTATATGAGTTAAGATATATTAATGGCATTTGAGAAATAGTTTGTAATTTGTGTTTCTTATGTGGGCTAGAATTAATCGTCAGCTCTTTTTAACTTAGTTTTGGGTATGTTTTGTATTTTTCCATAGTTTTTGAGTTCGAAATGTTTCTGGGGTACAAGGTATCCTCTTTAGTTTATGAGACATTTATTTGTTTATAGTCATCTATTTCTTTTATTTTACCTTTTTATTTACCTTTTTATTTATTTTATTTATTTATTTTTTTTCCTTCTCAAGTTTCTTTCAGAGTTGTACAAAAGATCTTCTTTGAAGATTTTTGAGCGAGATCTAGCTCAAAAATTTGAGCAAGATCTTTGAAGATCGTAAAATTTGAAGATCTTTTATTTTTTAAAAATTTTGTGTAACGATCTTCAAAGATCTTCATGATATTTATTTTTTTTACCCCTTTATTAAAAGCCCAGATGTTTTTCAATTTTCATCAAGGCAGGAGGAGAGGTATAAAACATAGAAGAAATATTATATTAATAAAATTGAAAAACATCTGGGCTTTCAGTGGCGTAGCTAGGAATTTTTCTTAGAGGGGGTCCATACATATAAAATTCTGGTTCGGCCGATTTAATCTTACAAATCATAACCATATCTTCTATAATATATAATAAATACATTTTTTAAATGTATCAATAATATGTTATTATAATTTAGTAGATCATTCTCAATGACTTTATAATAACACTCTCCAGAATAATTTCAATAGTAATATAATATCCTTTCACAAACATCAAAACCAGAAAAATATAAATATTAATGGCATTTATTTAATATAAAGTCACCTTTAAGTCTTTTGAACGTATAATCTAGAAGAAAAGATTTAGTACTGGGAGGGGTCCAAACCCGAAAACCATCCCCGTAGCTACGCCACTGTGGACTTTTAATAAAGGGGTAAAAAAATAAATATCATGAAGATCTTTGAAGATCGTTACACAAAATTTTTAAAAAATAAAAGATCTTCAAATTTTACGATCTTCAAAGATCTAGATCTTTTAAGATCGTTGCTCAAATTTTTTTATAAATAGAAGATCTTCAAATTTTACGATCTTCAAAGATCTAGATCTTTTTATTTTGAGCAAATGTACAACTCTGGTTTCTTTGGTCTCTCTAACATGTCCGCCCCCCCCATAGACTAATATAGGAATTGTGGATGTGCCCTCAGTCTAGAAAACCCGATTTCTCTCTTATCTTCCATACTTTTTATATACGTTTAAAAGTTTCCACTCGCCTTTGTATTCTTATTTTTCTTCTTCTTTGCAATTAATTTTATTATTAAGTATGTTTCCTAAGTACATTGTGACTACATTTACCTCTTTCTAACTATAAGTTTTTGAAGTGGTTACATGTTTTTCTTGGGGAAAATAAAGAGGAAAACTGTTTTTTTTTATTCATTTCATTATTTTTCTTAATTATTGCTATTTAACTAGATTTAAAGTCTTTAACTTTTTTATTTTTTAAAACATAACATCTTAATTGGAGTCTACATATAATACATTGGTCGTTCCCAGTGTTTCTCTTTTCCTTTTATTTTTATGTTTATATTTAGGAGTGGCAAAAGTTTAGCCTTGTTTTACTCCTTTTTACCTTGGAGGTAGGAAATATTCTTCGTCATTGATTTCGAAGTATCCAAACATGTATTAATGGTTTTCTGGATCTGGAAGATGCTGAGGTCTTTTTTTTTCTTACAACGAAGCTGCATGGTTAACATTATCAATCGTCATAATTTACAAATGTAAAGTAGAAGGGTGTTTGTACTTACTTTTCTGTATGATTATTTTTCTGAACAAATTTTTGGCTCCAGTATATTTATATTTTTTTTTGGTCTGTATAGACTTATGTATTTTTATGGGGAAGATTCGGTAGGTGACATGCTTGTGGTTTTTTGAGTGAACCAAAAAATTTTTTTTTTCCATGCTACAGGATGTGATGGTTATAGCTCAGTAACCCTTTAATTTCTGTGTTTTAGTTTTTTGGGTAGTTACTTAGGCAGGATTTGTTCCATCGCACTGCAGTAGTTCCGCTCTCCCATATTTTATTGAAAGAGGGCAAATAGGTAGCGAGATATTGTTATAGGTGCTATTTTTGGTTTTTCTGCTGTGATATTATCTAGCCCCGGAGCTTTGTTTTCCCTTATTTTTGACCACTTGTTATTTCATTTATGGAGAAACCAGTCGACAGGGGGGGGAGCGTGGTTTTTAATTATGTTTGTTGGTAGAGTTTCCGTGAGTGATAGACTATCATATAACAATCAAGCCATAATGCCTTTTGTTAATCCTGGCCAACAATTACTTTTCTATTTCCTAAAACTTACGGAGCTGGTTCCTATTTTTGCATCATAGTTCCTTTCTCTCATATCTTTATCAATATCAAAGACCTTTTTCGCTATATAATCTATCTATCACTTCGTAGAGTATTTTGTTTCTCTGGAAAATAAAAATAAAACAACAACCTTTGTTGTGTGGTGTTCGTTGCTGGATAGTCATAAACCTATTACTGACTGGTTTTTGCCTATTCACTGGAATTTTCACCTATTTAAACAATTTGCGACCCATTAGCTTTTCCTTATTTTCATGAATAAATTCTAATTTCAATTGATATGAACACATTCTCAATTATTGATAATAATTATTAAGGCTTACATTAAAGATGTTAAGCTTAAAATTAGACACCACTCACCCTTAAAGTAATTAAATTATTTTTACAGTTCTTGGGCATAGGCTTTTGTTTTGCCCATTTCTTTTTGTTTATTAGCCTAGACGTTTAAGCAACAGTTCTCGGACTGTTGCGGGTACAAGTACGTGCGGCTTGCCCACAAACGTGTGAAAGGCCCCTCATTTTTTCTCCCCTTAATTAACTATCCAGTTTGATGGATTTTTGAGGAAAACCTAGCTTAGCTCTGTTGTATCCACAACCAGAGGGCGAAAACGCTTTTATCACGTATCACGTATTTGTGCTACACCCAATGATATATAGTTATATATATCATAGGCTACACCATGACAATAGTAATTATAGTATTTAATTTTGATCACGTTTCTACTGAAAATGCATACTAATAATTTAACTTGGTACCGCCTCTATCAATTGATAAAATATTATTTTTTTTATTAAATAACTTTTATAGTTATTAAAATTAACAAATAGATTTAAAAAAAATAAAAATAAAACCAAATATTATTTTATGGAATATGATAGGCGTAGCCAGGAAGGGGGGGGGGTGGCAAGGGGAAATCCCCCCCTTCAGAAATTTATCACTTTTTGTGTAAATCATTTTAAGCTAATTAAAAATATTCCCCTTAGTCCTCCCCCCACTCCCTGACCCTCAAAATTCTATGCTTATATCTTAAACATTAATTTGAAAGAAAGAATGTAAAATTTACAGTATATATAATTTATCAATTATCACATGACACTCAAGTATTTTTACCAATATAGCGAATTATATATTTTACAGAAAACTATAAAATATTTATAAGGACAGAAAATATCTTTTAAAGACATTGTGGGATGAATAATATGAAGATTATTTTAAAATAAATAGATGGCGTTAAATAATTGAATGCAAATTGTTGCCATATTTATCAAGAGCATTGATTAGTAAAATTTGTTAAAATATTAACTCTAATATCAAATATGTCTGTAAAAGTGGAAATTTACCTAATATTTTATAAATAAATTTCTTATACTTGTTTGGAATAAATTATTACCATGCTTTTATATTAATGTATATACAAGTAATTTATTATATTTTATATAAACTAATAAAAATATATTTTATATAAACTATTAAAAATATATTTCATATAAACTAATAAAAATATATTTCATATTTGTTTCAGGCTTATATTTTTTATTGAAATTAACCACCTATCTTGTAAAAATATTTTATATGACTATATATAGACTAAGGTAACCCTGCCGAAGGCCCCGCCCAAAATGGGGTCTAGGGGCAAAGTCCCCAGTATTTTTTTAATCCCCCTTCCCTTAGGAAAATCCTGGCTACGTCTATGGAATATGATAATTTTGAGAGTACACATAATTTCTTGAAACTTGATTTTAAGGAAAACTTAAGCTAACCTTTTTATTTTTCTATTATAAAAAAAGTTCAATATATACTAAATATATAACTAGTACCTAAGATTTATTATAGTGGATATCTCTTTTTCGTGATTCTACCATTTGTTATACTTATCAAAAAATATAAGCTTGATCATTTTTTCCAAAACCATATCTTAAAAGGCCATGACTAAAATACG